GGCCCGCTGATGGTTCGAGCAGCCTGGTACACCGCAGGAATCGTGGGCGGTCTGTCGACGGTGGCCATGTGTGCGCCGAGCGAGAAGTTCCTGAGCTTGGGCGGCCCGCTGGCCGTGGGCTTCGGCGTGGTGTTCGCCTCGTCTCTGGGTGAGATGCATTTACAGTCCGCCGCAGACTGTGTGGCTGTTTAATCTTACAGACTTCACAGGAGTTTCTCTGTGTGTCTTTGGATTGTGGAGGGAAAATATTAGTCTTAACTTCTAACTTCGTTGAAAGTAATTAGTCCAAAATGTTTTAGACCCTGTTCTCAGCTGTATCTGGTGCTTGTGATCGGATCACCTGAGATGGATGTTAATGCCAGGTCTGAACGTTATGTAACAAATGCATTTTTGAGTCTCTAATGTTTCAAACTCAAAATAAGTAAAAGATATTGATATGTATGGCCTCTTTTAAAAGACACCCCAGGCGACTCCCCATGAGACCGATGACGTTTGTGATTCTGTCCTCTGCAGTCGACAGCATGGGCCGGATCGTCCTCGCTGGAGGCGCCGCTGTTGGACTCGGAGCTTTGTGTTATTACGGATTAGGCATGTCCAATGAGATGGGAGCCATCGAGAAAGCAGTGTAAGAATCACCTTCACATCAAACACTTTAAATTAAATAAAGGTTCTCATGATCTGATGATGCCAGCAGCACAAAAGAAATTAGATTCACCTGTGATCCGATTGTTAAGAATGAACTAGTCGTTGATTCAGCGGCTCTTGTCTGATTTGCAGACGGCATACGACTTTTGTTTTGTAATCTCAGTGATAACCGGTTTAATCAGATCAGTCTGATCGACTACAAAGCAGTCAATTTCTATCTCTTCCGAAGTTTCTGTTGAGTTAACATCCCAGAGTTCAGGTCAAGGAACTAGAGGAAGGCCGACACGTTTCACTTCTCGCTTTACCGTTTGAGTTTTATGATGTGGAGATGAAAAAGAACAGCTTCATGGTACGGTAATGTGAGTCATGGTATCTGTTACGATCAGCTCAACTGTGAGCTGGATTGAAAGCGACTGACAGTCGACATACACGCTTACATTGCAGATATTCAGTCATCTGAAGTCATGTCAGGAACACTTTGTGCTTGATGCAGACTGAAGCTGTGTTTGCAGGATCTGGCCGCAGTATGTGAAGGACAGGATCCACTCCACATACATGTATTTCGCGGGCAGCGTGGGTCTGACGGCGCTCTCGGCTGTCGCGGTCAGCAGGACACCGGCGCTCATGGGACTCGTGATGAGGGGCTCCTGGCTGGTACGCTAGAGATCATACTGCTTTTTATTCATCGCCCTTTACATACACTCTTCATAACAACAAATCAACAAAACGTACTGTAAGGCAGCTACTAATTATATACTGTATTATAGCATCCTATGGCACAGTAATGATCCAGCTTGTAGTTTAAAATTCACATTGATGTTTAATGCTGTGACAACCTTATGAACGATCCGCAGGCTATTGGCGCCACGTTCGCTGCTATGATCGGCGCCGGGATGCTGGTGAGGTCGATCTCGTACGAACACAGTCCGATGCCGAAACACCTGGCCTGGGCTCTACACGCAGGTAAAGTGCTTTCACTGCTTTAACTGACCTCCAGAGGGCACTGCAGTCTGCGTTTGTGCTTCTGCTGGGTATGTTTTCCTTTGGTTGAGCACTGCAGAAAATTTCAAAAGACAAATACATGCTCACATGAAAGTTATCACTCCTGTGTGGACAAACAAGCAGAGCTCTTGTGTTCCCTGTGTGCAGGTGTGATGGGAGCCGTCATTGCTCCGTTAACTCTGCTGGGTGGCCCGCTGATGGTTCGAGCAGCCTGGTACACCGCAGGAATCGTGGGCGGTCTGTCGACGGTGGCCATGTGTGCGCCGAGCGAGAAGTTCCTGAGCTTGGGCGGCCCGCTGGCCGTGGGCTTCGGCGTGGTGTTCGCCTCGTCTCTGGGTGAGATGCATTTACAGTCCGCCGCAGACTGTGTGGCTGTTTAATCTTACAGACTTCACAGGAGTTTCTTCTGTTCTCTCCTCTCTGCAGGCTCCATGTTTCTGCCCCCCACCTCTGCATTCGGGGCCGGCCTGTACTCGGTGGCGGTTTATGGAGGTCTGGTCCTGTTCAGCATGTTTCTGCTGTATGACACACAGAAAGTCATCAAGCGTGCCGAGACGCACCCTCTTTACGGCGTTCAGAAATATGACCCCATTAATGCGTACGTGTTCTCTGTGGGCAAACGTTTGTATTACTTCACATGACTTTATTTTAGATTTAAGAGTCGGATTTGTGCATTTGTAATGTGCGTTTTCTTTAATTAAATCGTTCTATCATTTAAACACACAATATGCCTGCCGTCTGTTAACATCACTGCTCCTGCTCTTCCAGATGTATGGGCATTTACATGGACACGCTCAACATCTTCATGCGACTGGTGATGATTCTAGCTAACGGCGGCGGAAACAGGAGGAAGTAGTCGTAAGGAGACAAGAACACATGACTCTGGATTGGAGAAGAAAAATTAGCTAAATAAAGTGTCACTCATTTATTTTGCATTTATTTGTTTAAAATCAGAACAAAACCTTTGGATTGCTTTCAGCTGAATTGCATCGTAAACATGTCAAACAGAAATGTTAATGTGACATTACTCAGTTCCACAGTTGGTGTAATTATAACAAACATTTTTGTATATTTATTTTAGAAATTAGATCTCAACAGACTGAGTTATTGCACAGAAAACGCTTGTGCCACTGTGATTCTCGTGTTCTTGCAGTTTGGGGCTCATGGTTCAATAAACTTTAGTTGTATCCAAATTATACTAGATCTTAATTGTACAGTTTATTGCTTTAGAACAGACATTAAGCACCATTTTTATGATATTTTAACAACATTACACAGGCACTGTAAAAGCTGAAGAGACTGAACTTTAGAGCAGAAATGTGTTGAATCCTCCGCAAGACAGACTGAAATTCAGATGTGCTTTAAAAAATTCCTCTCGTTCTGTTGTCTTGCCGTTTCGTTGTTTTCTTTGAGCGTTTAGTTGAGCTGTGTCATCTTTGATTAGAGTTTTCCTTTCACGTCCATGATGTTTGTGTTCTGCTGTTATGAGAGTATCTGGCCATCGACAGACATTCATGTTTTATTTGTGCTGTGACCAGCAGCAGATGACAGTTAGATTAGAGAATAATCCTCGTGTCTCCATCTGTATTCTGATGCTGATTAAATCCTGAGAGGAGGCCGTTGGCAGCAGATGGGAACGTCAGCACTGCTGCAGGTGCGACTTACTTTAAAAACTCAAAAGGTTAGGAAATATTCTGTAGTGATTGCAGATCTCTGACTGTCAGAGCACTTAAACCGCATTAATAAGAAGTGATTGTCAGTATCCCCAGGAGCAGATGACTGTCATCATGTGTGTATTTGTGTGTCGCTCTGACGGCTGTAAAGCAGCAGAGGGAGCGTTAAACACCATCCTCACACTCTCGGGAGAAACACTGCATCCACTGAAGTCACAATCACCTTAAAGTCGAGTGAATACGATTGGTTTTTCCCAGTAAAATAAACACTATGCATCAAATGTTACACTTAAACACATATGAGGCAAAATGCAAACAAAGCAGCTGTATATGGATAAATTATGCACAAACCTTCATCAGATCCTGAAGTAACTCAATTTGAGAGGTTCTTCATTTGCAACAGCCAAGTCTACAACCCATAATTATGATCACTCTGAAAGCAAGTAAAATCATATTACATTTTAATACAGATAAACACATAAAACTCTAAATTCTGATTGGATAAACCATGAAGTCTGACGCATAATATAAATAATAACAGGACTAAGTTTTCATGTTGCTTGAGAACTGTGAACAGCCACAGCTAATTATAATACACGATGGAACAGTCATTTATTTATTCCTAATATTAATGTTATATTGAGAAGGATGTCTGTTTACTGTTTCTGCCATTTAATAAAGCATTAATGTGCTTGAGACCATGAGTACAGCGATTTCACTCCAAATTTTATCAGCACGCTTTACTGGCAATATCATCACAGTGATGTCTCGAGTGTCTTTGTGATTTAAATATGTTTTCAAAAGTTATCTGTGTACATTAGTTGTTCTGCAGTAGAAGTAGGAACACAGACTGGCCCGTCTCACACTGAAGTGGATGGAAGAAGTTTTCAGTGATGGCATATAAACTGATCAGACAAAAAACAGAATTCCTCAGTGAACTGTTTACTGTCTGATTCGCCCTGAACTGCTTCTGTGAGTTGTTTGGTTGAGGAGACTAAATCTGATCTGTTTATTTTAACATAGCCTTATATTTTTCAAACTGCATACCACTTTTTACGGCATCAAAAAGAAGCTCCATCATTCCAACACTTGTACTCAATGACTCGGAGAAGTCATCCATGCAGAAATCCAGACTATTCTACTGAACTCCAGTCAGAGGAAAGCCATACAGGTCATCTCTTTTAATGTTGAATTACTCGTACATTTACTCAAATAAGAAGGAACTCAATTTCTGTTGTGTTTTCGCTCCATAATGTGTGAAATGTGTGACGCAAAAACCAGATGTACATCACATTCAGCCCTTAAAATAGATCAGTGACAGATGTGCTTTATCAGGAGCTGATGCAAATTTAGACTTTATAGGAAAAAGATGGATGTATTGAAGGTTCTGTCATTCCAGTTCATTTAGTTTTGAAGTTATAGAACAAACTGTCTGAATCTACATCACCCTCGATTCTATGTCCAGCTGAAAGCAGGAGTAATGCAGTCTGCTGTGGAAGGATAAACTTGCATCTTAAGCTTGAAAATAAAACATGGCACTGTGTTCAAAACTCCTAAATTAACACACTAACCTGGCCCTTTCTCTCAAATTCAGCTGATTCCCTTCATTCCTGTCTGTGGTTGTATGTTTGTGTTCTGGGTCTGGTTTGAGTCATGAGCTGCAGAGGGTTGAGTCACAGGATTACTGAAGCTGCGCTCAGACGTGTTTAAAGACGTCTTCAGACGAGCAGCAGCTGCAGCGCTCTTCATATGATCCTTCAGTCTCTTTACACTTCTGCTGCAGGATGAAGAGTATGAGGAAAAAACAGACTTTAATTCTTCTCATCTCACTGTGCATGTCTATGGGTGAGTGTTTTACTGCTCTGTAGTCTGTGTGTAATCAGCTTCAAACTGATTGTCTCAATAATCCTTTAAGTATAATGGCGTGTGTTTGCAGGAGAGCAGAGCTGTGCTTCGGAAATGAGCTACTTTAATCTTAAATCATTAGAATTTGCAGTAAAACTATTGTTTTATTTTTGGAGCAGTTATCTAATTTTTTTATTTATTTACTGAGACTGAATTTGAGTTGAATTGGTCCAGATGATTTCTATGTCATTGATTTCACTCAATGCTTTGTGTGACCGGAGTGTGTCAGACTAGCAATCACATCACAGCCTACACTTTATTTTCCACACCGTCTCAGTGTTTGTGTGTATGAACATCATCATGTTTAACACTCAAAATGTTTGATGTGTATTTCTCTGTCATTTTATGCTGCGTTTCAAGTAGTTGTCTTTTTCAGGGCAATCTGACTTTGCACCGTATTTCTATGATAATGGAGCTGGAAGCAGCAACGGAAACCTGGGGTTATTCAGCATCTCTGAAGACACATCTGTTGGTTAGCATCCACTTCTATAATAACATGCTGTCAAATAAAAGAACATCGCACACTGTATATAAGCACAGACTGAATGTGTCATATTAAACTGATCACAGAACACACATATAATAATGCTGAATACATATGTGTTGTATGCAGAAATTCATTAGATTTTTATGAAATCAAATATTAAGCTAATTGTAATGTACTATGAGTGACGGGGAATTGTTTGCGGTGGCTTTAGGGTTTGATCCTCTCAGCAGTGACGAGCACGGTTTAATGCTGGGACGTGTTTACCTGTTTATGACCCTGCTTGTACTACATTTAACAAATATGACAATATTTGCTACTAAGATACTTTAAATAATGTCTTTAAGATAATAAACACACATATTTCACCGGTGATCAGGTGTAATTTGTATTTCTTCCACAGGGACTCATGTTTACACACTGAACGGCTCTGACCCCGAAGGCGAGCCGGTGACCTACGGCATGACCTTTGATAAGGGCTCCAAAGATTATTTCAGCGTCGAGCCCAAATCAGGGAACGTGACTCTCATCCAAACACTGGACAGAGAGGTGAGAGTAGATATTACAAGGGTTCAATCCTGACACAATATAGGCACATAATTCTGGAAAATACCAGCTGAAGTCAAACTTGTCTGTATTAATAATCACACTTGTTTCGATTGTTAAGGTTCAGGATGAGATCGTTGCATTTGTGACCATCACAGATGGGAGAAATAAGGTGAGAAAACATGATTGCATTAAACTCTGATTACAGGATTATTTCTTAAAACTGAAGTGTGTGATTGTTTGTGGTGTGTTTAGAGTCACTGTGAGTCATTAGTATGTTGTCTTCCTGACGAGTGAAACGCTGTGTGTTCGACCTCATCACTGAGAGCGATTTAAGAGTTTAACAGCTGTTTCACGACCCGTCAGACTCACAGACGACAAACACTCTCAGTTCAGCTAATGCTCATACATCCAACACTTTATAACAGTAAATCATCTTAATGTTATCTCATGTTTATTAAATAAAACTGACAAAAATATGGACCCCCACTTCAATGGTTTTTAAATATTGATTTGTTTTTAGGATGATTATTGTAGGATAAATATATTGTTATTTTAGGATTTTGATTAATAAAAAAATTATACACTTTGCTTTTAAGAAATGGTAATACTAGCCTTTGACAGCTGATTTCATAAATGATAATTGTTCCTTAATTAATATTTAGTCCCATACTCTTCTGTTTATGATGTGTATTGTGTTGAATGTGTTTTAATGTTCATTTATGGTGTATGTGCAGTTTGTCAGATCAGGTTTACTGTATCTCTTGCTTCTCCAGGTTGTAGAAAATGTTCGAGTGTTCATCACAGATGCTAACGATGAAAAGCCAGAGTTTCTGAATCTGCCGCTCGTAGTGGACGTCCCAGAGGTAAGAATGAGAAGCAGCTTGTAAATGAACAGATAAGTGTTTGTTGAAGCATTGAAGCAGTTACGCTGTGTGTGGTGTGTGTTGAAGGACACAGCTTCAGGCAGCAGCATCTACAGAGTCCAGGCCGTCGACAGAGACCTCGGGTCCGGAGGAAGTGTGACCTACTACCTGCAGGTCAGACAGAACCACTTCCTGTGGGGTCACGCTTCAGTCATTTAGGAAACACGTTTAAGATAAGAATCACTGAGGATATTTGAATCTCTAATGCCAGCATTAAATCTGTAGAGTTTGTAGAGGAACGCTGCAGTCCTGCACACATATCGCTGACCGTCGAACAGACCGTGACACTAAAGTACCATCAGAAAATGTGCTGCTGCTGGATTAAATTTCAATTACATTTGGGCAGGTTGAGGGCTTAGCCTGGCTTACCTTGGCATTCGTTAGCCTCTGACAGCAGCCGCTCAATTTCCCACAACTAAGACTGAGCCCTCGAGTGCAGCTTTCTCTGAGGAAAGCATGACCAGTGAATGTCTAGAACAACATTTCTCATCATTTCTGATATAATTACTATACATGCCGTTTCAGAGCTCACACTGATTGTACTTGTACTAAAATCAATTGTCCAAACCACAGGACCATTTAAAATGGACTAGTGAAGGAAATGGTGACCAGTGATGCCATCTAAGATATGCACTTCCACATATATTTGATCTTAAAGTCTTGATGTCTTAAAGAAACAAGTATTTGTCAACTGTCTGTGTATTAGTACTCAGAGCAAAGTAACTGGTGAATATGGGACTCGTGTGATTACCAGATCAGCAGGTCTGACCAAATCATCTAGTTCTAGTTTACCCATCTGGTGTGTTCTGGGCTCTCGCTCACACCTACTGAGTCACGGAGCCACGATTTCAATAATCAGTACAATTCCATGGTTCTCATTTGCAATTTTGGTAACATAGCAAAAACTATTGTAATTGTTTTATTTTAATATTTTTAAAAATTATTTTAAGATCAAATAAAAATCAGTAAAGTAAAAGTAAGTAAGTAAAGTTTAACGTCAGTAAATAATGTTAAAATATGAATCTTTCACAGAGCACAAATAGGGAAACGTTTGAAAGCAGACCCAGTACTGGGAAAAAAGTATAAATTTAAGTATCAACACTAATCACCTACGTCCCACACCATCTCAATTAAAACAGGCAAATTTACTACAAACACTATTCGCGTGTTTTCACATAAATGAGCTTTACACCATGAGTTCATGCACTAGCAATAAATAATCATCGCAATACCATAATTCTTAGTTCTAAAAAGTGCAGAAAGCGCATGTAAATTGCACTGAGAAACCACGCATACAGCATACTTCATCCAGCAAGCAGTCATGATCGTATTGTTTCAGATCTTAGCAGCTTCAGGGTGTGCATCTGCCATCTTTTGGAACAGATTGCTTCCCGAAGTGTTTGTCATCATGGCTTTGTGTTTGATCCTAGATTTGAGAGATGCATTATTTGTTTCAGGAGACATTCCTTCATCAGTTATCATTTTGTTTGCAGTCGACGCCCAGCACTAAGTTCACCATCGACGGTCACAGTGGAGCTCTGCGCATCAGATCCGGAGAATCGCTGGACTACGAGGTCTCCAGGACTCATTTTGTCACTGTGGTTGCAAAGGTGAACAACAGACTCAACCGTGTGAAATCCCTCTGTCCTCTGAGATAGATGAGCTTGTTTGTGGTGATCTTTCATAAAGGCATTTATCTTGTAACAGTGAAGTCCACATGAAGTGCAAAGAGGAGAAGAATTTTCTCCTGATTTCTCAGTAAGTACCAGATGCTCAGAGCTGTGTGTCTGTTTCAGGATGGCGGGGGTAAATATCATGGAAAATACCAGGTCATGACCTCCACAGCCATCATAACCATCAATGTCCTCGATACCCAGGATTCTCCTCCAGTGTTTGTTGCTACTCCGTATTTTGGATTTGTGTATGAAGTCTCTGTACCAGTAAGTGTGACATGATTTCATATCTAAAATCCTGAAAATAGCAATTTCTACTGATTGTAACTGGTTAGTGATAAATGAGTGCTAGACTCCAATGTATTTGACTGTATTGACTGGCTGAGGATGTCCAGTAACTGAGCTTTTATGGCGATGCTCTGTCTGTTTGTGTGTTTTGTGTGCAGGGCTCAGAGATATTCACTGTTTCTGCCAAAGACGGCGACCAGAACAACCCCAACACCATGCATTACTCCATTCTGAGCGGTCAGCTGCGTTATCACCTCACTGCTCATTTAACTTCTGAGCTCCAGAGCTAGACATTCATCGTGTCATAAATACTTCCATCAGTAATATCTCCTGTCTCCTCTTCTGTTCACTAAAGGCAGCGACGGCTTCTTCAGCATCAACAGCACGAGCGGCTGTATCAGCTTGACATCTTTCCCTGTACAGTTGAGGAACGAGTTATACGAGTTACAAGTCAAGGTTGTCTATATTTATGATATGAATATCGCTAAAGCTTGAGTAAGTGTTTCTAAGTAGCATCACACATGGCCTAATAAAACTTATTTTATTGTAAATCAAGGCTGCAGAGTTTGGAGCCGACAGGTTTTCTGATTACAGCGTGACCACAGTCACTGTTCGTGTGGTGGACCTCAACAACCATCCACCCGCTTTCTACGACGAGAACGGCCCGCAGAACCGCTTCGAGCTGAGCATGTACGAGCATCCGCCGGAAGGAGAGATACTCCGCGGCCTGAAGATCACGGTCAACGACTCGGACCAGGTGCACATTAAACTGCTGTTTGGTTGAATACACCTGGGGTTAGCTACCAGAGCCAATAGTGAGATGAAATGAATGACATTAATCTACATTTTGCTATTAAGTTCAAAGCTATAAATACTAAAAGTGTGAGAATTCAACTGCAAGTCAACAGAAGAACAATGCAGCAGTGCTGTATTTCATGTGAATCGCACACTTTTAGTCCATTTCATTCAGTTGTAATGAGTGATTGAGCGGCTCACAGACTGATGCTTTCGTCCACATTTCATCACAAACCACAAAGACGGTGATGCACAAACTCTGGGATTCACACACATTATGGCACAGTGATTAAGATTAAGGTTGTTGACACCTGCCATACAAATGATTTACTGTTTTTGACTGTTTTCTATGCATTAAATAAACACTTTTATTAGAAATAGCACTTTGTTAAATTTTGAGGAGCTTTTTCTGTGACCGTTTTAATCTTTTTTTTTCCCGATTAATGTTCCATATTCTCTGAATCTCCTGTTCTCGTTCAGGGAGCAAATGCTAAGTTCAGGCTGCTGTTGGTGGGACCTTCTCGAGTTCTCCGTGTGGTTCCTCAGACGGTTCTCAATGAAGCCCAGGTCACCATCATGGTGGAAAACTCGTCCGCCATCGACTACGAAAAATACCAGTTCTTAACATTCAAGGTCTGATCCTGATCTTTTATTTTGATCACACTGACAGTAAGTTATCTTTTAGCTGAATGTTTTATCCTGAGGAGTGTGTGTGCTGTTTTTCAGCTGTTAGCAGTGGAGATCGACACTCTTGAGCTCTTCAGTGCCACTGCGGATATCGTCATCAATCTTTTGGAAAAACTGTTATTTTGTGGACCGCCATCTGTCTTATGTCCCAGTAGATTAGACCAATAATCAAAAGCCAAATCTCGCACTGAGCCTGATGGCATGAACTCCATGATCCCACAACCAGCTTAAAGTTCTGCATCTGTGAGCAATCTGACTGAACAATATTCTCACTGATGGTGCGATTGTGAATATTATGATCTTTCTGGTTTGTTTTCAGGCAGTGGATGAGGACGCAGAGGAACCTAATAACCTGATTGAATATTCCATCATGAAAGCCGATCCAGACAACATCTTCGACATTAACACGTCCACAGGAGAGATTAAGCTCAAACCGTACATCAAGTCTATGGAGATTGTGCAGAACATCACCAAACAGAAAGACTGCAGGTGGTCTGTGGTGGTTCAAGCTCGTGATCGAGGCTCTCCATCCTTCAGCACAACAGCGGTCGTGAAGATCGACATCACGGAGGCGGTGAGACGTTTATACGTCAGGGTCACTGTGTGCGCTGCGGGATCAAAGCAGCTGTAATGAGCATTGTTTTGTTTGTGTAGAATACCATATTACTACCATGGTAAATGTAAAAAAACAAATAAAATAAAAGTACTTTAATTCCTAGGTATAAGAATATGGAGCTTATCAAAGTAACATAGTATTTCATAGTACATCCACAGTACCTTTTCATCCATGTACTCATGATTTAATAGTATATCTCACTGTAATATATGTGAAGAACCATTAAAGTTCATTATGTGCTAATTATTTACAACAATTTGTGTGTGTGTGTGTTTTCAGAATGGGCTCAAAGGGCCCATGGCTGCTTTTCTAATGCAGAGCCGAGACAATCCAATGAAAGCTCTTGGCCTGGCCGTCAGCATCATTACTGTAATTGTTTTGGTGACAGTTATAATCTCCACCATCATGTACTTTCGCAACACAAAGTCCAACAGGATCACGCCAGCGCGCCGCATCATTCGCAGGAGGCCCAAAGAGCCACACCGCTGGACCTTCAGGCCGTGGTTTGGACGGAGCGACCTGAGCTTTGGAAAGTTCTTCACTGACGATGAGACGAGGGACAACACAAACCACAGCAGCCCCAGAGCCAAGCCGCCGGCCCCCAGCGCTCCGGTGCTCCCTCCTCCGCCTCCGAGCGAGCGGCTGCGGTCAGTGCCCACGGTGTCCGGCTCCCTGGCCTCCAGAAACACCAGCCGCAGCTCCAGCTGGAGGACCAGCAAAAGCACAGACGGCGCCCAGAGATCTGGCCAAAACAAAGACGGCAGTGGCATCAGCTCCGCTCTAGTGTCTGAGCTTAAAATGAGAATAGAACAGAAAATCAATGAGGCAAATCAAGGCTACTATCACTGACACACTGACCGGTGTGAGTAATGGATACGATGTGTGTTTGATGGACCGCTGGACGCTTGATGTTACGAACAGTTCACTGAGAAGAATGTTTCTTTTTTTTGGTGAAAGTGTTTTTAAAGTGGCCGTCTGGTTCACCTAAAGTGTTTTTCTGTTTTTCAACATGCTGTACAGTCAAAAATACCTTAAAAATGCTAAGTAACTTGCCAATACTGGTCTATGCACATACAGTATGTGTTTGTAAACAGAAGACAGCTAATTGGATGCTGTTTATTTCAGTAATGTACACCTCTTCAGTCTTGCTGTGCTTCTTAGACCAGTTTACGCATCAGTTCTAGATCTGCAAAAGTCATGCAAACTCCACTGTAATCTCATAATTAGCACCATACTGCCATCTTTAGGTTTCATTCAATTTAGTCTGAACAATCTAATCATTAATACGTGTCAAAATTTAGAAGAACTTAAAACAACCCTTTCTGTTTTCAGTAGATTATTTATGTGACTATTGCATGTACATTATGTCCTACTCTATTTCTTTTTTAAACAGTTTTTGCCTTGAGGATCTTTGGTAAAAATCTACAGACTTTATGGACATCGGACTCTCATTTGTAGTTATTGCTGTCAAACCTTTTTTATTATTGTTTTGTATTGTTTTGTATTTAATTTTCCTGTACCTTTTCTGAGAAGGAGAGCAGATGAACATCCATGTGCTATTTGCTGTAGGCATATCCAAATGTCAAATGTGTTTATCATGTCATCATATCAAGTCTGTGCTATAAATGAATTTAGAAATACAACAATTTTTAAAGTCTTATCTAAAAAAAATTAAAAGAGACTCGTGTCATTGTCCTAGTATTCAATTTTTATTGTTACATGAACTCATTGACATTTTTATTGAAGGCAACTTGAGGTAAAACAAGCGATTTAGAAAAGTAAAGCAAGAATATTTGCAGCAATACTGAGGTTCAAGAGTAAAATCAGAGCTTCCTACTGAACATTTTTTTTCATTGTTAAATAATATAAATTAAAAAAATTAAAAAAAAAACCCAACCAAAGAACGTTCAGATTCCTAAAACTGTAATATTTCACATCTCGTTTAGACTTCAGAGATTGTAAAACTGTACAGGTGTAAAAAAAATAAAAGATCCTCTTTACATTAACCTAACCTTTAATGTTTGACATTTCACAAACATTTAAAACAATGCACATAAAAGAAAACACTCCCACTGAAAATACAAGAAAACTAAAGTGCAATCATTGTTTGCTTCTATTCAGTCCACAAAGCATCACCGTCTGTGGTCTCTCACCTGTGTATTAATATGTGGTCTAGTATAGCTGGGCAGTGCTGTTTCTTTCTGTGCTTTATCCTCTGATCTCCTCATCATCTTCACCTCACCACACAGCCCTTCATCGCCGACTGCCTGCAGACTGTCACACGTCTCCTGTCTCTCACGTCGCTTCTGTCTGATGTACAGCCGTGTGCAGCGCTCAAAGCAGTGCGTTCTGGTGTTGTTCGTGCAAACACACATCCCAGTAGGCACAGCCAGCACCATGGCACACACAATAACATAAACCATGAACCAGGTTTCTGCACGTTTCTCTATCAGCACAAACCACTCGATTGTGATGCCATGGTCTGCTTGGATATGCGTATATCAATATACAGGTTTTCCTCTACTGATGCCAGTGGTAAGGCGGGTGAGAGCGGGAAAGTGAAGTTTTGGGAGAGAAGGACATCAAGCTGGACGCTGACAGACGAGTTACCGATGAAATTGTTGGCAGAGCAGGTGTAAACGCCTCGATCAGGCATGCGAAGAGCTGGAACAATCAGCACAGAGATGTGTCGTCATTCACTGAAGTCTGAGAAACTGCAGAAAATTGAAAAAGAAGGTGATTAGATTAAACAGGATGATGTACTAGTAACATGAGTAGTTTCAAAAAGCTACTAATAGAAATGGGTATCAAATGAATGAGCATTGGGCGAAGTGTTTACCTGTAAAGCTCTGATGCGTTCGAGACTGTAGCTCCGCTTCAGGTCTGGATTTCATCAAGCACCTCAGTGACGTCTGACCCTACGGGGAGGTGAGGTTAGTTTGAGGACGGGACGTTTCTGCCTTTATGTACATCTTCAGCTCCACCTCATGAAATAACTTTCCTGCTCTGGATTCAGGCCCTGAACATTTCATACATGAGTTCATCAGGATTATCAGTGGGCTGATTGTGTTGATGAATTCAACAAAGCCCTTGTGTCTGCAGTCACAAAGCCAACGATTTTCATTTCAACAACATTAGCCCGTTCCCGTTTGAGGCCAGGTTTCTGTGACGGCATGCTGTGCCAGTTGAGAAAGACGTCTCTGGATATAGCAGTGGGATGATTGAAGGATAAATCAAAGTAGGTTAGTTGGCAGGTGGTGCACAGCATACTCTGGAAGTGCAGCTATTCGGCTGTGTTTCAGGTCCAAAATTTCAAGGTTCGGCATGTCCCGAAAAGCAGTCCATGGTATCGAACGTAATTTGTTGCCCTGTATGCGTAATTCTGTCAAGTTGTGCAGTCTCTCCAGACTCCTAACATTCATCAGTGTTATATTGATCAAATGTAGCCATAGGAACGCCAAGGCACTGGCTGCAGAGAATGGCGCTTGTGGGATTTCAGTTACATGTGCTCTTTCAACACTGATTTTTATGAAATTCTCAGGAAAGCTCCGTACATACCCAAGACCTGTATGTTAGCAGGAAAAAAGAACCAACTTGGTCTGTGTTCACAGGAAAACATCAATACACACTTTTTAAAAGCTGAATCGATCTAGAGGCCGAATTACTGGGTTATTTATAGAGTGATTCTACCAACCTAAACGCTTTGACGAAACACTTAATTTTTTTACAGATGCTGCTCAGCACTAAACAATGAGTGTGATCAAATTTAATGGCTTATTTGCTTTTGTACAGTTCTTGTACAGTAATGAATAACTGAAAACAGTTAGAAAAACAAGATAAAACAAGTGTGAAGAAATATGAATTCTCTCTATTATGTAAATATCTTCAGTACAGAACTAAGTTTGGGATCTCAGACATAAAATGTCAAATACGAAAATAAATGGCCATGCAGCTCCAGGCCACGTTTACAGGAGACACGAGCCGCTCCGCATGACTGACAGCAGTTCACTGGTTCATTGGGTAAATCCTATTATCCTTAATGCTCAAACTTCATTGGAAGTTTCTAAATACTGCTTTGAGCATTCAGACAAACTAGGAATAGCACAGCTAATGTGTTTTCAGATGCATCACTTTATAAACAAAGAGGAACCATTCAGAAAACAAGAACCATATAAAAAATTATTTTATTCAATCATATTTTTAAACATATATTTAGTAAGTACAGACATCAACATATTCCTGATATTGCAATTATAAGCACATTTTTAAGGTTAAAATGGAGAACAGAACAGTTGCCCCAGTACACTGTGACAAGATAACAGTATAAAGAAAAACAAGTAAAAAGGAAAAATTAAGCATGTACATCACTAACCTCTTTTTTTGTAACATCCTGACTGTCCAAAGAGAAAATCTTAACATTTCACTTTCTGTATTAGACAGATGGATATTATGTGTTGGACACAGACATTTCATTGCAGTATATGCATGATGAATGAATCAATTATAAACATATCATTGGAAAAGTGCATGACAAAAATAAAAAATACAGACATTATTTCAGTCTTGTGTGAGAATTTTCCCTTTTTGAACACTGAACTTTCTTTAAGGTGGTTTCTACCCTTTTATGGCTGAGAAAGGACCAAGCTGATATGTATTTAAGCTTTCAAATACATTTAAAGAAAAAGAGTGGTCTCAAACAGGGCGAGCCTGCCGCCGGTCAGTCAGCAGAAGTACTCGTTGGGCTGGCCCTCGGTTCTGGCCGTGGCCTCAGAGTCCACACTAGAGCGGGCCGACAGCAGCCGGTTGGACTCGTCTGGGTTGAGTTGGCTGAGATATTCCCCCTCCAGCCCTTTGGTTTTGGTGCCTGGAGACAGAGTCTCAAACGTCACGTACGAGTCTTGAATGTCTTTGGACTTCCGGCCCATCAGCTTCTGCAGCCTCCTCTTTAGTGCCCCGCAGCAGACGATGAGGGTCAGAGGAACCGCGATCACGCAGGCGACCGTGATCACCACCACGTTAATGAGCTTCTGTGTGCCGCTGGCGCTGGCCGCCTCGTCCGTGGAGAAAATCACACACTGCTCTTTCTTGGGGACGAGGCCCTTCACGCACACACAGGCTATGTACTTGGTTTTGGGCACGAGGCCTTCGATCGTGATGCGATTCTTGCCCGGGGCAACATTAATCCGACGCATGTCCCGCTCCCCGAAGACGGCGTACAGAACGCTGAAGGACGTGGTGTTGGTGGCGGTGGGTGCGTGCCAGTTCAACGAGACCGTGTGGTCCGTGTCACCGATCACTTTGACCGACCGAACCACTCTGCGCTCCGGACCCTGCTGCAGAGAAGACGCATTAGCCTCCAGGTTACTCAAGACATCTTTCTGAAGCTCCGCCATGCCGCTGTCCGTTCCTACGGCCGCTGCAGGTGCCGCTGTGGCCTTCACTTTGGAAACACCATCAGAAATGCTGTAGCTTTCGATCTGGATGGACGCCGTGGCTTTGGGTCCGTTTAGGGGCTCAATGATGGGCACAGCAGCTGATGTGGCCGGCGGCACGTATCTGGCGATGAGTTTCTCTTGATACGCCGCTCGGCCGAATCCAGCGTTCTTCTTTCCGTGACTTCTCTTGGCGACCGCTTCGTCGATTTGCCACATATCAGAAATGACAAGTGAGATAATGGCATCGGCACTCCCGACAAAGTTAGTGGCTCTGCAAACATATTTCCCTGAATCTCTGTAAGAAACAGCAGGAACGCTGAGAATGGACCAGATGATGCCCTCTTTAGAGATTTCCTGTTGAACTACAGGATCAAACAAAAAACACTCACTTTACTATAAGTTCTGAAGTTGCATTTTGCATCTAACTGTGCAGTACAGTTAGACATAACAGTAATTACAGCAAATTTTGCCTGCATGCTTGTATATTTGCTGCTCTCTTAATACACAAGCAACAATAATTTTTTTTATCAAAAGCAGTAAACCAACGGAGACATGAGATGAGATCAGATGAAAATGTCCTGGTACGTACCGGTGCCGTTCATGGGCTTGCGGTCGGCTCGGGTCCAGGACAGCTCGGGGATGGGAACGCCGATGGTCCCGCAGCGCAGCAGGACGTTGTTTCCGATGGAGCTGCGGACCCTCGCGACGGCCGTGTGCACGCGGGGAACCTGACACTTGCGGAGCTCAGCATCAGAGAACAGGACTCCCGACAGGCTCTCCGGTTCGGCACAGCGCAGACGCGTATCGATGAACGCCACAGAGGAGGAAGGGAACTTCTGGAACTGCACCAAATCAAAGAGACGACAGTCACACTGCCAGGGATTGTCGTGGAGACCTGCACAAAGAACAGGCGCTTTCGTCAATGTTTCTTCATTTGTCAATGACTAAGACTTTACAACTGAACTGAAATGGTTTAAGAGCAGAAACTAACTCACCAAATATCATTTTGGAATTCTCTGCATCCTGAGGAGGTTTCGGAGAGAACCATGAAGTAAGAACCTCCGCTGGAACGGTGGCCAGACTGTTGCTGGACAGATCCAGGTAGGTCAAGTTTTTGATGTAAATGGTTGCTTCACCTGGGATGCTGCTGATTTTATTATTGTTCAAATCCAGGAGCCGAAGGTTAGGCATGTCCATCAAACATTCCCAAGGAAAGGAAGTGAGAACATTCCCATCCATCCGTAATTCGTCCAAGGCGTAAAGTCCTCGGAAACTGTCTGCGCTGAGGGAGGAGAGCGAGTTGAAGGATATCCAGAGGTACTCCAGGCTGCTGAGGTAATGAAAGGATTCGCTGGCAACGCGGCTGATGGTGGTTTTCTCGATGCGGAGTTTGGAGGTGTACGAGGGAAAGTTGTTTGGGATGACGGCGAGGTCGGGGTCGTTACACAGGACGCTCCTATAAAAACACATCACACGGGTCAAGCACAGTCTCTGTTTGTTGAGATATTTGTTTATACCAGTCATGTAAGTATACTGCACTTTAAAATTATAATGATCAACATTGCTATAAAATAGTGCTATGACATATTCCTCTTTGACTAACTTTAATTTCTGACTTTATTTTTATTGTGTATTATGATCATTATCTTTACACTGTGTTTGTGTTTGTGTGTATGTAATAAATGCTAGAGGCCTGAAACACCTCAACTAACAAGCAGAGAAGATTAAAAAGCACACACACGTTAATCCAACAACTAAATAAAGAGCAGAGATAATCTGGCCTGTCAACGGTCCATATGAGACTTTTCTACAGTAAGGCTTCAGTTCAGGGTCCATGTGAAATCTTACCTTGACTTCGAGCCGTCGCTCAGTTTGTGGTAGAAGCAGCTGCATTGAGCAGGACAGGTGCTGCAAAGCAACGGAAGACAGCACAGCACCAGCGCAAAAGCCCCAAAACCCAAAACACACATCTTCTGCGCTATCTGTTCTAGCTACTGTCCGGATGGGTTTGAGTCTGTTAATCACGCAGCATCTCTGTGTCTCTCTCAAGCACTTTCTGCTCGCTCTGCTCCGAATCCCCTGATAAAAGGGATAGAGCAGATTAGAGCAAGGACTTGGGGTATTTTCATTTACACGATTACTCCTTCCTGGAAGCCCATAGGCTGCGGTTGTCTATTGTATATATAAAGAACAGACATTTCTTTTTCTGATTGGAGGGTTAATTTTAGAGCTGGGATTTGGACATCAGTTTGTGAATTCACAGCATCTTATTGGTGAATGGCTTTGTTTTCTTTTATTTTCACCAGATATGCCGAATAAATCATAGAGTGAGGAGGAAATGTTGTATTTTTTGTGATGCTGCTTTTTGAAAATTGTTTAAATGGAAAATGTTATAATATGCATAGAAATGGAAAACCAAAATACTGTATAGGATATTTATACATGCAAAAGATCAGTGTTGTTAGTTTGACCTTTGACTCCATACCAATACATCAAACTGCATTTGATTCAATAATGAGCACACACAGGAATTTTCACATTTAGCATAAAACTAAGCATTTTTTTTGCATAAAAATGCATATTTCAGATTTTCTCAGACATAATTATTTTTTTTTTGCATCAACTTTACTCACAGATCTGGTTATAGTGGTTACCTAATATTATAATATTTTTTGTCTGTTTGGTCTATAATGCCTATATGATTAAAGCAAATAAGCAGATGGCAATACTCAAAACATATCAAAAGCGTAGTGTCGATGCATTTAAAACACCTGGGGGCAGTATAGAGCAAAAGTCTTGGTCTCAAACTAAAATACAGACATTCCTGTTGCTGTGTATATTTGTTCCAAATATATCTTGTATAGTACATACAAAAATGTTCCACTATTCAGTGTGACATTTTGTTCATAATGGATATCCACACCAATCATCATATTCAGTCTATGAATAGACTCAATGAACTCTCAGGCTTATTCAGAACTGTATATTTTAATTTATTCATTTAATATACACTTTTATCAAAGCAACTGGGGAAACAACAACACAAGTGATTCATCCTGAGGAGCAAGCACAGATGCTGCTGTAAAATGTGTGTCTTTAGAGAGTGTGAGATTACAGTGAACACATTTCACTCAAGTGTGGAGCAATTATTTCCCAGTAGCATTAACATCTGAAACCTGAGAATGGAGGAGTGTGATGGTGTCCTGCTCTTAATGCGCAGTTCAGAGCAGGACTGAGGCGAATGAGCAGCAGATCAGATTTCACAAACTTTTGCGGTATTAAAACATTCTTGCGGGGATTTGAGAGGCTTTAAATCTTCGCACGCGCTTTCACTGGGAAATAAACACACATATAAAGTCTCGCACTGTAGCGCAGCGGTCAGCAGTGAGAAATATCTCTGACAATGGCTTCATACACGTTACCAGATGGATTCAGTGACTTCGACATGTTCGCCTTCGGCTCCGCGCTGCTGGTGGGCGGTGAGTGCTGCTGATAATCAATCAATCAATCAGTCAGTCCATTCATTCATCAGTGCTGGATAGTTCTTCATCGATGACATCGATTGACAAACATAACTGCATAATCTACGGCATAGTCTATCGATTAATGAGCACTGCTCTTATTGATCTTCTGCTAGTTGATTGTTGGTTCATAAAACCTGTGCATAAATTTAAACAAATGTCAGATAACTTTTTTGAAAAGGAAACTTCTTAATTAAACAAGCTTAGTTTCTGAATTAGTAAAAAAAAAAGAAAGAAAAGAATGAGAAAAGAAAAGAAAAAAGATATAGTCAGTACCATAGTATAATGATGGTAAGTGTTGGCATCTGATGGTGCTTGTTACTGTGGACTTGGTCATTCTTCTAACAGCATGATATATTATTTTGTTATGATTGCTCTTTGTATGCGGTGCACGGTATAATAAATTCTGTACAGTCTGAATATCTGAATATTTTCTTCTAGGTCTTCTCGGTTTCTTTCTTAACTTTATCTCGGTGATGGCGTTCCTCAGAATACGGGAGATGCAGACGCCCAATAACTTCTTCATCTTTAACCTGGCTGTGGCTGATCTGAGCCTCAACATTAACGGTTTAGTGGCTGCTTACGCTAGTTACCTGAGGTGAGACTAACCAGCTAAACTATAGTATGAATCCAGAACCGAATCTTTCCAAATCGAACACTTGCTTGAACACAAATTGAAAAATGAGAAATATCACATGTATGTATAAATATTCAAACACCTGTGTGTAAATATGTTTTTTCTGAACTCTGGAAGATACTGGCCGTTTGGGTCGGAGGGCTGTCAGATGCACGCTTTTCAGGGAATGGTGTCGGTCCTCGCCGGCATCAGTTTTCTGGCTGCCATTGGTTGGGACAGATATCATCAGTACTGTACTAGTGAGTATAAACAGAGAGCATCTGCCATCCTTCGTTAAAAATTTTACTTTATTATCCTTCATAGTTGACACACAAGACTTTAATAGTACTCTTGTTTCTGTAAGGCTTGCATTGGGTTTCATTATCATTTTTAATACAGCTTTCCTGCACTGTCTCAGCTGATCGGCTGTAAATCGATGAGTTAGTTGTGTTTGTTTCCAGAGCAGAAGATGTTCTGGAGCACGTCTGTGACCATCAGCACCATCATCTGGATCCTGGCTGTGTTCTGGGCCGCTCTGCCGCTGCCGGCCATCGGATGGGGTGTCTTTGACTTTGAGCCGATGAAAACATGCTGTACGCTCGACTACACACAAGGAGACCGGTGCTACTTTGAAAACTACAACACATTACTACTCAGAAATCACAATAAGAAAAATATTGACAAACAATAATGTCTGTCTGCCCTGCCTGGAAATGACTACTGATGATTTTGAATATCATGATGTGAATTTGCATGCAAGAGTAATATGTAATTTTCTTCTCTGCTGTCTTCTTCAGGAGTTACATCACCTACATGCTGTCCATCACTGTACTGTATTTAGCATTCCCTGGTTTCATTTTGCAGTCCTCCTACAATGCCATCTATGCATATTTCAAAAAGACACACCACTTTAAGGTACTCGCACTCTCCTTAGTCAACATACGCTCCAATTAGATACACAACGTATCTTCATTTGTAGGAACTTTATTGTTGCCTAGTGTGATTTCACTTTGCATTTTTCATAAAGTAAACTTTTTTTGTAATAAACTTTTTTTTTTATCATTTTAAATTCATTTGGTATTTATGTGTACAATTTGTCATTTTAAGTAATTGCTGTTCCCTATGATGTTGTCATTTTCAGTTATCAGTTTTTCTGACCAAAGACATATTTTGTGCAGCAATTTCAACTAAACCAAATTTAGTTAATGCTTCATGCTCTGTGGGCTGTAATGAGGCTGTGTTACTCTGTACATTACGGATGGATGAGCCACAGGATACCTGCTGATGCTCAGTATTCTGTGTGCTTTAAAGGGGTCATATGATGTTGCTAAAAGAACATTATTTTGTGTATTTGGTGTAATGAAATGTGTTTATGCGGTTTAAGGTTCAAAAAACACATTATTTTCCACATACTGTACATTATTGTTTCTCCTCTATGCCCCGCCTTTCTGAAACGCTCGATTTTTACAAAGCTCATCGGTCTGAAAAGCGAGGTGTGCTGTGATTGGCCAGCTATCCAGTGCGTTGTGATTGGCCGAATACCTCAAGCGTGTGACGGAAATGTTACGCCCCTCACCATACTGTGATGATGCCCTGTCCGGCCGGAGCGACGAGACTAAAATTGTGATGCCTGCGGCAACCACATGTGACGACCTCGGGCTGGACTCGCTTCGTCCACGGTGAAAGCCGATCCGGCAATCCACCGTGCGAAGTTGATGTATTTCCTCAGCGACCAGCACAGATCAGCTCTAGGCATGACGAAGCGGATATCATCCTCTTTTGGAAGACCAAACTAAGTAGTTTCGCTTTCACAACGAAGCACACAGCGTCTTCACGCGCTTTCTTTCTTTGCGTGAACATTTGGGCGGCGTTATGCAAATCTTCAAACATAGTGATGTAGACATGTGGGGGCGTGTTAGAATGAGCGTTTTAGGTAGGTGTGGCTGACTCTTAACTTTTATAAAGAATATCTCTTTGGATTTGAGACTTTAGTTTTTGCAACTTTACAGATCTTCTTTATGCACCAAGAGCTTGTAACACTCCAAAGAGAAAGGAAAAATTGAAATCGCATCACATGACCCCTTTAAGATCTCGTTCTTGCATTTAAACGTAACGCAAGCGTCAGATTTCTGGTCTAGTGTAGATAAAAGCATGATTAGAGCAGACAGTGAATGGTGTGTGTGTGTTGGTGTTTTGTGTCAGCGCTTCTACTCTCTGTCCTGCAGTTTAACACAGGTTTACCTCTGAAAGCGCTGCTGTTCTGCTGGGGTCCATATGTTCTGATGTGCACATACGCCTGCTTCGAGAACGTTAACCTCGTTTCACCAAAGCTCAGAATGGTAAGATAACAAACACTGGTGATCTTCAAAATCTTTCATTAGCTTGATAAATCATTGTTCTCGTGTTGATCTCAGTGTTTTGATGACGGTTGCCTGATCCTCTAGGTCCTCCCGGTGCTGGCGAAGACGTCTCCGATCTTCCACGCCGTCCTGACAAAAAGAAATAGTGAAAGAGCTTTAGCCATGTAATGTTGTATTCAGACGAGTCTGCAAGAGTTTACACATGATGTGACTGTAATTCACTGTATATGTCAAATCAGTGCCTAACACATTTGGAGATATTTGTCCAGAGTTTCATTTAATGATTCATTGAAGACTGATATATGAAGCCTTATTTCAGTTTCCTGGAGTGTGAGAGATGACTTACACAGTTCATTGAGGACACAATCATTTCACCATTTCATTGTTCTCGCCTTACAATCGCTGTTGACCAATGCATCAGAATCCAGTATTCATGTGTAAATCTATGAAGTAAGAGGATTTTTCTAACCAAAACTTGAAACCAGTGTATGAACCGTTAATAACAAAAGGGCCTTTCATTGTTAATCCACAGAATAAACCGTGAGGCACAAGACAGTCCTTTCATGAGTTCTTTAGGGGCTCAGAAGGGGACTGATGAAGGTGAATGAACTCCACTAGAATCTCTGAAGAGTCTGCTGGCATCATGAATTGGCTTGCAGATGGTCATCTTTACTGGTTTAGCTGGTTTCCTTCACAAACCATCATCTGACTCAGTAAATGCCCTGATTCCTCTGTGTGTGTTAGTTAGGAGTCCGAATGCACATTTATGCAGATGCTTTTATTCAAAACCACGTTCACTTATTACAGGTTCGGTCTGTTGCTCAAGGAACACAGTTCACAGATCTTCTCAGTCTCCAGCTCAGATCTCGAAGCGGAGGCTAATTAACATTCACGTTTAGGATTAGAAATTCTCCAGGTTTTTGTAATCTGCAGTAATTCCTCTGCACAAGGAGCTGCTCTTATATCAGTAGATTTGGGTTTCTGACATGTGTTGAAGACCAAAGAGGATCAGGAGAGCTTTACTGCAGCCGGTCACGGGCGACTCTCAGACCCAGCGACCCGCAGCCGTCGAGAGCATGAGGACCGAACTCTGAAACTACTCTGTTCCTCATAAACACACTAGAGCAGAGCTGAAGAGGAAGGTCTGTGTGTTCTGTCATTCATCCATTCATTCATTCATTCACTATGAGCTTTTTTCCCTTTATTGTCTTTCTTCCTCTTTTAACGCCAGTGAAGTGTATTTATTGATGTCTTTCAGTTCACAGTCCTCCACAGTTTCTGGAATCAGGTGTACTTAACATGAGCTAAAAGACAAAAATCTGAACATGGCAAAAAAAATTAGATCTTTTTAATGCTGTTTAGAAAAGTAGATGAAGCAGGTGCAGCTAATTTGGGATAAAGTACAAATTCATGGCAATGCTTTGTCGATTTTTCCTGATTTTTGCTCTTTAAGCTCTTCAAAAGATATTTTTAACGGGTTTAAAAGGGTTTTATCAATTACTTGTCAACACTGATTAATTTTAAGAACTGCACAGATTAAATAACACTTTGAACACTATTTATAGAAAGGCAGAAGACACACACACACACTTGTCTGGTTCACTATCCTTGTGGGGACTCTCCATAGATGCAATGGTTTTTATACTGTACAAACCGTATATTCTATCGCTCTACACCTAAACCTGCCCCTCACAGAAAACTTTCTGCATTTTTACAATCTCAAAAAAACTCACTCTGTATGATTTATAAGCTTCTGTATTCATGAGGACCTCAATTTAGGTCCCCACAGTGACACGAGTCCCCATGAGTCTGTGTGTATTCAGGTTTAAGTCCCCACCAGAATAGAAAAACATGTACACACACACTCACACACACACACTCACACACACACTCACACACACACACACACACACACTCACACACACGCTGCTCCACATCACTAGTGCATCAGTGCAGTTACAGCAGGTTTCTATCTATGGTCTCTAAGGTACTGTTGACCACATAAGCAGGATTAACTTCTGGTCTCTTCTCAGAAACAGCCTCCTAAATAGACATGAAGAGCATAAACACTCCAGAGAAACTTTCACATGCTCTTGAAGCTCTAGATTAGATCCCAATGCTGAAGATTTTCCCTGAAGTTTCTCAAAGCAAACCTGACAAACACTTCCTATCACAAAGCAGATTTACGCCTCAGATTTCTTAATGCGACTCTCTCCCCTATTGCACATAAAATGATCTGGTCAATGTCTTGTGATTTATTGATGTTCAAATAAGACCTCCATCAGTGGAGGGAAAATGCAATTTGCGTAAAACAAATAATCAACATCAGTGTATGTGGTCTCTGTAAAAAAGTCCAGTTAGTTTTATTTAGGTAAATGTTACATAATGCATATCATATGCTTTAACACAACAAAAGGTTTTAGTTATTGGGAATGAAAGTTTTGGTTTGACCCAAAATAAGAGACTTCATTTGTTTAAATAACAATCCTGTCTTTACAAAAAGACCATTTGTAGTTTACTGTATAGATTAAAAGATCTGAAAATCACTTTCAAAAGCAGCTTTACAGTGTTAAGCAGGAAAATAGTGTGTCGATAATGCAAGAGGACAATACAGTTTTTGCCCGTTGCTTGAACACTATAGACACATGCTTAGACCAAAGTAACAAAACTTGAAGCTTTTGTTACTATACCTTAAACACAGTGTAACCATACCTTAAACAAAAGCGCTGCTTTGCACTTCAGTTGCAATCCTGTAACACACTTGCTCCTTTCTGCAACACACTTGCTCCTAGACACTACACACTATTTCATACATAAGACACTTAGTTCAAAAATGAAATCTCAGGGTACCATTGGGAAAACACATCTATTCAAAATACAACACACATTGGTTAATTGAAAAGACGTTGACTGTACTGTACTGTAAAGTATAGTACTGTGATGTGCAGTATTGAGTTGATGTCATTTGTAACCTTTCAGTACTTTCATTTTTGGTTGTTGTGAAAACCTTTGTTGGAAAAAAACAGAACAAAAACTGTAAGTGTTGCATTGAGCTTCAAAGAATGCTAACTGATGAACTGAATAAAAACAGTGAAAATTAAAGACTGCAGTGTTTTATATAAAGTACACTAGTGTGTTGCTGCTAATCTGAAAGTGTATTCATATGATGCAAGTGGGTATCATTTTGTCATCAGAGTGACATTTTGACAAAGGATTGTTAGGTTTTGATAGCAGAGTTTCAATTTGACATAGATGTGAATGGTTTATTTCCCAGTGTTGTGTGTTATTTGCTTGTGTGTAGAGTTTTGACACAATGAGCCAAATTTAGCAAAACGTGTGTAAGCAATAGGCAAAAACTGTAATAAACACTCAAAGTCATTGATCATCAGTGATGTCATCGTCCAGCTCAGTTCGGTTCTCTTCCAATAGTGTTTGTGCAATCAATTCGACAACATTGCCAGAAATTAAGCGTCCCCAACTAAGCAAGTCAAAGGCGACAGCGGCAAGGAACCAAAACTTTATCTCTAATAGTATCGATCTTGGAAGTAAAGAAGTTCATAAAGTCATTACTGCTGTGCTGTTGGGAAAGGTCTGCGTTTGTTGATGCTTTATGTTTCTTTAATTTAGCCACTTTATTGAATAAATGCCTGGGGTTCTGTTTGTTCTCTTCTAAGAGAGACGAAAAGTAAGTAGATCTAGCTGTTTTTAGAGCTTTTCTATAAGTAGAAGTACTTTCCCGCCAAGCAATACGAAATACCGCTAGATTTGTTTTCTTCCAGCTGCGCTCCATTCTCCGGGCTGCTCTCTTTAGGGTGCGAGCTATTGGATATGCTGAGGAATTGAAGCAAGTCAGGAACATTATTTACAAAGCAGTCTTTTGTGGTAGAAGTGATGGTTCTACCATACTTGTAACAAGCAGTAGAATTTACAGTTTTAGCTATATAGAGTTTGCACTGCATGGTTACAATTTTATCTCTAATAGTATCGATCTTGGAAGTAAAGTAGTTCATAAAGTCATTACTGCTGTGCTGTTGGGAAATGTCAGCACCTGTTGATGCTTTATTTTTCATTAATTTAGCCACTGTATTGAACAAATGCCTGGGGTTGTGTTTGTTCTCTTCTAAGAGAGACTAAAAGTAAGTAGATCTAGCTGTTTTTAGAGCTTTTCTATAAGTAGAAGTACTTTCCCGCCAAGCAATACGAAATACCGCTAGATTTGTTTTCTTCCAGCTGCGCTCCATTCTCCGGGCTGCTCTCTTTAGGGTGCGAGCTATTGGATATGCTGAGGAATTGAAGCAAGTCAGGAACATTATTTACAAAGCAGTCTTTTGTGGTAGAAGTGATGGTTCTACCATACTTGTAACAAGCAGTAGAATTTACAGTTTTAGCTATATAGAGTTTGCACGAGACTAGATAATGATCTGAGATATCATCGCTTGGCTGCATAATTTCAACACCATCAACATCAATTCCATGTGACAGTATTAAATCTAGAGTATGATTTCGACAATGAGTAGGTCCTGACACGTGTTGTCTAACCTCAATAGAGTTCAGAATGTCTATGAATGCTGATCCCAATGCATCTTTTTCATTATCAACATGGATATTAAAATCACCAACAATTAAAACTTTATCTGCAGCCAGCACTAACTCGGATATAAAATCAGCACAGTCTTTAATAAAGTCTGTATGATGCCCTGGTGGCCTGTATACAGTAGCCAGTACAAACATCACGGGGGATCTACCATTAACACTTGTTTCTCTGGATAATGTTATATGAAGCACCATTACTTCAAACGAGTTATACTTGAAACCAGACATCTGAGAAATACTGAAAATATTACTATAGATTGTAGCAACACCCCTTTACCTTTTGGATGCAGCTCATGTTTATAACAGTAATCTCGGGGAGTAGACTCATTTAAAATAAAGTCTCGTTGAGCCTTTGCATATAGTCTTTTTATTTACACATGTACAGAGAATTAGCAGATGTCTGAGGACAAAGATTAGGTTGTTGAATCATTAACTCTCTGTGAGTCTCTGCTGTACAAAACAGACTGAGAGAAAAGACAATGTAAACCAATGACATTCATACAAAACAACAACAATCTGCTGCTGTGTGTTTCAGGGAGTCACTATACTATATAAATCATTACACTGTCCATATAACATATATATTCTATTGTGGTTATACACCAATACATGCAATATATGGCTCTGATTATTCTTCCATTCCCAATGATAGTTTTGGAGAATGAATAAATTTGTACATTCACAACTCTAGAGATAATTAAATAATATGTATATCACTCCTGTGGCATTTTCCAGCTTTTCATCGTCCACTTTATTTCAGAGTTCAGTCTGAGTTTGTTTGTTGAGCCAAACCTGTTTACTTTTATTAATCTCAAATACAACATGTGAACCCCATTAAATATTATTATCCAAAAGAAAAATATTTTTAGAAGATATAAGTGTAATCTGGTGAGCAACACACAGTGAGCTAATCATTTATTGCAGAGAATATTAATCTAAACATAAAGACATATAATCCACATTCACCTGAACACACACCTGTAACAAAGAACTCACAATATTGATATTTTTCACTACTCTGTTGAATACATAAAGACAGTGTATACTGTATGTCGTAATATATTGTGTTGTCTATGTCTTCATTTGTCTGACATAAACTAAATCTGTGAATCAGACTTCATTCATCTGCTTATTTCGTGGCAGAAACCGCCATCTAGCGGCCAAACAGGCAATGCATCGGCCTGGATGTTGTGCTGAACTACTCTACTGTATATATTTAGGTAGATCACCGTAGAAAGACAGTTCAAGCAGTTTTTATTTCTGAGGACTGCAGCAGCTTCTTTAAACCGCCATCAGGCAGCATGTAATAAGAAAGAGAAAGAGTTCATTTAACTCTAATTCAACAATCAAATATCAGTTCTTAACCTTATATACTTGTAGATCAGTATTATAATTGGGTGTGTGTGTCGATGTTAACTCAACACCTTTATGAAGAACCATCAATTGCCATTAGTTAGTTATGCTTATCATAAAGAGAGTATTATCAGCAATATCATGACAAGCTCTGCAGTGATGCGTCAGTATCGGCTCATCTCCGATCAGTCCAGCAGAGGTCAGTGTCGCGCCGCTGGTGAGCGCAACGCCTCGCGTCAGACCCGCGCGTGTTATATAAAACAGTGATGCTCGGAGTTAAAAGTTTGTTTATCGCCTATTTAATTTCTATTTAAAGAGAACGGGACGAACATAAATAACAACAAAATTGTTTTACATTTGCAGTTTAACACTTGTACACTAATCTGTAGACAGAGAACAGTAGATAACGGTGGCTTCTTTTAATATTTTCCCAAATGCTTTCCAAAAGATGATATCACGTTATTGTACTGTCGTTATTTTGTGAAATCAAGTATTTAAATATTATTTGATGATTAGATTTTTTCGTCCTTTAAATAATGGCCCTTAATCCGCCAACACTGTGAATAATTTAACCTTCACAGAAATACATTCGCATAAAAATAGCAAACTCTATAGCACTTATCAAAACATTCTATTGACACTGCATGGTACTGCACTGTGTGTGTTTTCAAACACAACAAGAAACCGCTGAGTGCATGGACACGGCGCCAGTCTCCAAACACACTAAGAGCGCGAGTAGAGCTGGTCTGGGGTCAGTTACGGTTCGTCCGACCCCTAGTATTTTTTGTCATGTGATCATGACCCTGATTGGTCAGATTCGTCCGTTTTTATAATTAGCAGATGGACTCAGCTGGCTGATGACCAGAGGGTAAGCGCCAAAGACCAAAGGAGAGAAATCAGAGGAAACTGATTTCGGCACTCCTCTTAGTTTGTGCCCACAGAAAGTCTGCAGCTTCTGATGGAAAGAAAAACTGATGTGAATGACCACAGGTGACAGACCAGAAAGCGCAAACTCATGCGTGCGTAACAGGAATGTAAATGCAAAAATAAAGCTCAGCAGAAGTGGAAATGCAGAAAGGAAAGCTCAGGACTGTCCCCGTGAAGAGAAAAGACTAGCACGTCACCTATCAGAGGCGCCTGACCACAGCGAACCGAGCGCGCGCGCTGGACACCAAGCAGGTCCGTGCGTAAAAGCCAGACGCGTCGCTGCACAGGAACGGAATGACATTACATTCTGAAGAACGGCTCTCTTGAGGTAAACAGTCATGGAAGCTGACGGATCAACGGGGCTGGCGAGATCAGCCGCCCTAAAGTTGTCCGAAATGGGCGAAAGAACTAAACAGCTTGGCAGCGCGATGCAAGACCCCAAACGCAAGAGAAGGCTCATTCTGGTGATCGTCTGCGTCGCGCTTCTGCTTGACAACATGCTCTACATGGTGATAGTTCCGATCATTCCCGATTATCTCGCAGATTTAGAGACCGAGCAGGCGGCGCGCGCCCATGACAACTCTTCGCTGGGCAGAGCAAACAGGGACAACCTGGACATACAGATAGGGGTGTTATTCGCATCCAAGGCCATTCTGCAACTCATGGTCAGCCCCTTATCGGGAACTTTCATTGACCGCGTTGGATACGACATCCCGCTGCTGATCGGACTTCTGGTCATGTTTGTTTCGACCTGTATATTTGCTTTTGCTGACAACTACGGGACCCTGTTCGCGGCGCGCAGCCTGCAGGGTCTGGGCTCGGCGTTTGCCGACACGTCTGGGATCGCGATGATCGCGGATAAATACACGGAAGAAGCGGAGAGGAGCCGCGCGCTTGGCATCGCGCTCGCGTTCATCTCGTTCGGGAGCCTCGTGGCGCCTCCGTTCGGCGGTATCCTGTATGAATTCGCAGGTAAACGGGTCCCGTTCATAGTTCTGGCCTCTGTGTGCTTGGCAGACGGCATTTTGCTCTTGACTGTGATCAAACCTTTTTCTAACAGGACGCGCGAGAACATGCCGGTCGGGACGCCCATTTACCGGCTCATGATCGACCCGTACATCGCCGTGGTGGCGGGCGCTCTGACCGTCTGTAACATCCCGCTGGCGTTCCTCGAGCCCACCATCGCCAACTGGATGGAGAACACGATGAACGCCACAAAGTGGGAGATGGGTCTCATCTGGCTGCCTGCCTTCTTCCCGCACGTGTTGGGGGTTTACGTCACTGTCCGCTTAGCCGCCAAGTACCCGGACCTGCAGTGGTTCTATGGCGCGCTCGGTATGGTCATAATAGGGGCCAGCTCCTGCACTGTGCCTGCTTGCAAAACCTTCGGCCAGCTGGTGTTTCCCCTGTGCGGAATCTGCTTCGGCATCGCTCTGGTGGACACGGCGCTCCTGCCCACTCTGGCCTTCCTGGTGGACGTGCGTCATGTGTCCGTCTATGGAAGCGTCTATGCCATCGCAGACATCTCGTACTCGGTCGCCTACGCTATGGGACCCGTAGTAGCAGGTCAGGTCGTACACAACCTGGGTTTCGTTCAGCTGAACCTTGGCATGGGTCTGGTGAATGTGCTTTACGCGCCGGCCTTGCTGCTGCTCCGGTACGTGTGCCAGATGAAGCCGTCCCAGTCGGAGAGAAACGTGTTGCTGGAGGAAGGGCCGACGGGACTGTACGACACCATCCGCATGGAGGAGCGCAGACTCAAGCGCAAGGGCTTGTGCGCCACGACGACTAGCGCGTGTCCCGTGGACGAGGACGGGCTCTTCGAGCGGTCCAAATCTTACTCGGAGGAGGAATCGTCGGGACCCGAGTTCACTTAACCCGAAGACATGACGCATTTATTTTAGTGACCCAGAGATTATATCGCAAACATTCAGCATCTGATGTGCAATATTTATTCCCTCACTCACTCAGAGAAGTGTGTCTTTTATGATTTAGATAGAAACTGTAACATTTGGCTCTGAGCGACATTCCTATCGTGTGTAGATGTGAGTAGATGAAGTGCGTAGCTGCGTGATGTAACTGCACAAAACCCCAATAAAACCAGTGCTCATATTTCCATACATGTGCCTTTTTATTGACTGAATCACTACTAATAAATATGGGAACGAATGAACGTGTCGTTTTTTATATTTATTTAAATTCTCAAAAGTCCTAAGAAGGATCTGTGAACGACAGCCGAGGAATTTTGAGTCCGTCTGGATTCGTGTGAGTTTCAATAATTTGAATGGAAACGAAATATATAATCTGGACCGGTTAACGTGGGAACAAATATAAGAATATAGAAAAGACAATTTACTTAGTGACAACTCTAAAATAAAAAGGACATTTTGTAACTGAATTATCACCGTTAATAACGAAAAATATTAAACGATTCACTGTTCATCATTTCACATGATAAAAATTAACCTCATTCATTATTTCATTAATAAATTATTAATAATTATTAAGTATTTCTGTGTGCTAATTGCATACAAACCAGATTTTTTTAAGAAATGTAGCTATACATATTATAAATAGCGTAAACATTTTGTCTACCGTAAATGATAAGTAGTTGTAACGCAAGACAGCGCAGCAGCACCTCTGGGAACAGCTGCAGGAGCAGGAGCGCGGGGACCGGGACCGGGCGCGGGGGCGGGGGCGGAGTCACGGACACTGACCGCCGCTGAAGACCGAGGACGCTCCGCTGCAGAGACAGACGCGTGACGGACGCACCGATCAAACAGGTGAGCGGCTCTCTGCTCCTCACGAGCTCATTCTGCTGAACTTACAGAACTTTATTAGGGAAGAATTTTTATTTAAATTCATTTCTCTAGTGATTTGTATTTTACAGTTTTTTTAAACAATATTTTTGTAGTTCTGGCACTGTACCTGATTCAAGCTGCTATTGCTTATTCTATTTTTTATTATTTTATTTTTTTAAGAAAGTAATGTTTCGGATTTCTTTTTTCAGATCTGCATGTTTGTTGAAGGCTAGACTGTAGCTGTAGCTCAATGTCACGGATTTATTGTGAAACATCAGGTTAGGAGCATCACTGTCTGCAGCGACTATAGAAACACATAAAGCCTATTAGCGTCTATTTTCATATTGTTATCATATCAATTTTACTGACCAATCAATTCAAATTAATGGAAATTAAATTGGGCAGAACTATATAATTACTCCCACTTCTAATGAACTTTAAGCAAGCCTTCAGGTCCATCCATCTCACTAAAACAATCGCTGTTATCTGTAATAGAAATTAGTGCATTTCATGAGAATGTTGCATTTGGTTATTCCTAATATAGTTCAGATGTAATGTTGTTTCTGTTAAGAGGTGCTAGACAGTCTCCACAGGACAGAGTTTGCAGTGTTGAGGAATCAAACATCTCTTCAGTGACTGCAGACAGACTCAGTGATGCCTGTCCTGAAGAGAGAAACAGCCCAAGCCCACAGCCACTGCAATGTAAGCAAATACATGTGGATTCAGTTTGCTATGATTGTTGCTGTTGTTACCAAAAAGACAAATGAAGTCTTCTTACCCTACAGATGTGCCGAGCTAGTCTTGATGTAACATCATGACTGGGCAAATATAAGAGCCTCATCTTCAGAGGAAAAGCTTAGCTCTTGTCTAAGATCTGAAAGAATCACAGGCACACATCTGATTTGACTGTCGCTGATTTTCCTTCTGATACAAAACAAATTTCATACATGTATGATTTACCGGATGCATGTACAAAATATAACAAAAGAGGTAAATCTAAAGCTTGAAAATCTCAGATGCTTTTATTAATAGAACTGAACAATATTTTGAGAGATACTGTGTTTCTGAACCATATTGGTGCACCATTTGCATTTTGTTAAATCAAAATAGTGTTTCTGACCAGCAGTTTTTCAAATTTCCTCTCCATTTGTCTTAAAGCTATTCCTATAAATTATTAAAGCAAGAGCTGATAACACAAAACATCAGAGAGACACTCAACAGTTACTCACTCATTAACGTTCCTCCACCGGAGGGCAGAACCGCCAGAGAGCCTATCTATCTATCTATCTGTCTGTCTGTCTGTCTATGGGACCGTGTTGAAAAACATTCATTCTTCTTCTCTTCTCCAGATGCTGCTCAAACTCCCTGTGCCGGACCTGCAGCACACACTGGACGCCTACCTAAGATCTGTCAAACACCTTGCTTCTGAAAAGCAGTTCCAAAAAACCAAAGCTATAGTGGAGACGTTCGGCAAACACGGAGGTGTTGGAGAAAGGCTGCAAAAACTGCTGCTAGAGAAAAGAGAAAAGACCGAAAACTGGGTACAAACACACTACAAACCCATCTTACAGAGCTTCAACCCTGAACTATTACAGGAACGGCAGCCGTTCAGAACAACAGTCGCAGAGAGCAGCAGACACGACACGATCTGTTAACATACTGAACCCAGTGTGCACCTCCGGATGCACCGATTTATTATTAAAGTCCCATTAAAACAGATGAAGAAAAATAATGAGTAACTGATCTGTGGCTATTGATCCGTCTGCCAGGAAACATCACAGCTTTTAATGTGACAGCAGCACTTGATATATAATAGCACTTTACTCAAATAATCTTTGTCCTTTTTTCTCTTTCAAAGGCAGTGTAGCTTCTCGCCTCGAACGAGTTTAATTAGAGCTTAGGAAATGATGAGCTGATGGTTCTGCTGTGTTTGTCTCAGGTGTTCGACTTCTGGCTGGAAGACATGTATCTGAAGAACAGACTGGCGCTTCCCGTGAACTCCAGCCCTGCGCTGGTTTTCCCCAAACAATCCTTCAGAGACATTAAAGAGTCTCTGGTGTGAGTAAATAAAGAGAACTAATTAATTCATGCACACATAACGTCAATGAAGATCATGCGGCATCATCTCCTCCGTCTCTGTGTGTGTCTACAGTGCACCAGAATCACTCTCTGTGCTCAACACAGTGATGACTACAGTATGTTTGACAAAGTAATATTAGTGGCTCTCTACACACTTAAGAATGTGAGTGCTCAACATGAGACAAATACAAAAGGAAATGTGTGTGTTTGAAACCTCCACCACCAAACAGACCTTATTTGCCAAATGCCGACTTCATGACAGCATAGAGCCGGACTTGCTCTGTAAGATCTGACCACCGTCTGCAGGGGTCTCTGGTCGTCTTGAATGAGGTTTTCTAACAAGTCTCAGAGTGAAGGGCGTCTGGAAGATGTCTCCATCTCTGTTTGACTCTTTGATCAAATTAGAGGTTAAATCGGTGTTTGTCGGATGTTATGAATAGCACACCATTCATCGTATAAATATAGCTCCCTCAGTATATAAACTCCTGCCACTGTATTATGCTTTACACATGTGTGTGTGTGTGTGTGTGTGTGTTTGTGTGTGTGTGTGTATGTGAGTGTGAGTGTGTGTGAGTGTGTGTGTGTGTGTTTGTGTGTGTTTGTGCTGTAGGAAGACTATGCTGGTGGACGTCGCTCGCGGTCAGAAGGCCGACATGCCGCTCTGTATGGATCAGTACAAGCGTCTCTTCAGTGCTTACAGACGGGCCGGACTCGAGCAGGACACACTTATCACAGCGGACAGCACGTCTGACACGGGACACGTCATTGTGGCCTGTAAAAATCAGGTGTGTGCTTTCCCTTTGTGTTACACCAGTAGTGCCGCTGAATTAGTCTGTTGCGTTTGTTTGGTGAAATGATCAGTCTGTGATTAATGACAGCCGAGAAAAGGCCACATTTAACACTGATTCCACCAGAATCACACATTACAGTCCAGCTGAACGGAGGACGAGTGCTGAAGAATATCTGCGGTCACCTTAATCTGATGCAGCTAATCGAAACGAGGCTTGAGAGAGGCTCTTAAATTAACTGCAGGTCCATCAACAGACGCTCTTCACAGCGCCTCTCGCCTGCAGACGTCACGCTGGGCCAGCCGTGCGCTGCGGTCTTGAGGGTCGTTTACCTGGAGATGGCTCAGGAAGCATCTCTAACGAGGTCCGGTCTGATAACTCAATAACCCCATCAGAGAAGTGGAGCCGCTGACACCGGCGCTGTTTGAGATCCGGCTGCACTAAACCAGCTGCTGTGCACAAAACTCACGGGACAAACAATCAGACACTGCTAGTTAGCCAATATTAGATCCAATAAAAAATCATACTACTCGTGTCTTCATAAAAAAAATAAACTTTCACTTTCACTATCCCCTGATCCTTCCCTGTTCTAGCTTGTTCTATTCTGAACGATGTCTGAAACTTTGCATTAGTGGAACTTCTTGTGTTTATTGCCTCCTTAAGATGAATTGCTTGTGTTCCTCATTCCTCTAGTCGCTTTGGATAAACGTGTCTGCTAAATGAATAAATGTAAATGTTACATGACATGCATATAGGAGCTGATTTCTTATCTCACTAAAAGCTCAATGAATGTCACAGTCCTTCTGTTCACTAAAGACACGCGTCTGGTTCACGTTCTCAGTTCTTTGTGCTGAATCTGATGGAAGGAAGCTGTAAACTGAATGAGGCGGATGTTCAGGCTCAGCTGGAGTGGATCTATGAGCAGACGCTGAGCGCTGAGCAGAAGCAGCCGGCCGTGGGACTGCTGACCGCAGAGGACCGGACGGACTGGGCCCGAGCCAGAGACCAGCTGCTCAAAGGTCCAAACAACACTACATGGACACGGTGCTAATAGCTAGAGACACAGACTGATTAAACACTCAAGTTACTTTCATTGCTCAGTGCCGAATTTCACAGTTATCCATAAGTGAAATCACATTTCCCACGATCCTGTGCGTGACAGAGATGTATTTTAACTTGTGATCAATCTGTGAAGCAGATCCAGTGAACAGAGAGTCTGTGGAGCTGATGGAGCGCTGCGTGTGTGTCGTCTGTCTGGATGATCCCGCGGGACTCGAACCCAGCGACGCCAACAGAGCTGCCCTGGTGCTCCACGGAGGAGGACATTATAAAAACGGAGCAAACCGCTGGTACGACAAACCCCTGCAGGTAAGACACAGACGCTCAATAAATGAAAGCATTCGAATGCTGCCGTGCTTCAGATGTTCAAACATGTTCTGATGTGTTTAATGTTCAGAGTCACTGGAGAGCGAAACTCTGTGACTCAATGACGTGAGTCTGTTTGAAGGAACGGCCAGCAGGAGTATTTGGGAAACGTTGGCTTGTTTAGTAATTCTGTTCAGTGCAGGAATGGCACACATCATGTTCAAAAGCTGAGTGAACATCCATCTGACTGAGGAGCAATGAGAGCACTGCTGATGTCACAGAAGTGTTTGTGTGTTGTTTCAGTTTGTGATTGGTGCAGATGGTGTTTGTGGGGTCGTGTGTGAGCACTCGCCGTTCGAGGGCATCGTTCTGGTGCAGTGCACTGAACACCTGCTGAAAAACATGTGCGTATCAACACAGACCAGCCAGCTAATCACACAACTCAGCTCTTCTGCTAACTAATGGCTGAAGCTCTGGGCATGATGGAGAGCGGTTTTTAGAGTCTGTGAAATTATGCTATAATAAGGATTAGCTCATCATATGAATGAAGTTCTCTTCGCTGCAGACGGTCCTGTAAGCAGAGCTCCGCTCGGAGCGCGTCTGAACTTCCTCACCCGCACAGATTACTGTGGAAGTGTTCCCCTCGGACTCAAGATGCGCTGGCGTCTGCTGCAGATCACCTGCACAGGTGAATGAATCTGGTGATCTAGGAACAGCTAATTTTTCAACAACAGCTTTTCAGTTTCTCGTTTTGTTAGAAAGCTTGATCCTACGGGCATCAGCTGTAGTTTGATTGACGCTCTGAATGCTCTTCTCTCTCTAGACTCGTGAGGAATCTCGACATGAATGTTTTCACGTTTGCGGTTTATGGGAAGGAGTTCATCAAGCAGCAGAAGATGAGTCCTGACGCCTTCATACAGCTGGCTCTGCAACTGGCCTTCTACAGGTGAGGAGCGACTGATTTCTCCTTCTCAGAGCCGGACTCTACATCTCCTTGCTGTTTTCCACAGATGTCACAGAAGACTCGTGTCCACCTACGAGAGCGCTTCTCTCCGCCGCTTCCGGCAGGGACGCGTGGACAACATCCGCTCCAGCACTCCTGAGGCGCTGGCGTTCGTGAAGGCCATGACAGACGGAGGAACATCCACTCAGGTTTCAAGTTTTTCCGTCTCTCCTTTATTTTCTGCCATAAACACAGAATATCTAGCGTTAATCTCAGCTCTTCATCCCAGGACACAGAGAAGATGGAGAAGATGGAGAAGCTGCGAGCGGCTGTAGATGCTCAGAGTAAAGTCACAGCTCTGGTGAGAGAATACAGACGGCTGACGTCGTGCTGATGTTTTTATGTGTGCGCTGACGAGCTGTTTGACTGTCTGCAGGCCGTCACGGGGATGGGGACGGACAATCACTTACTAGGACTGCGTGACATTGCCAAGGAGATGAAAATGGAGACGCCAGACATATTCTCTGATGAAACGTACCACATCAGTAACCACTTCATGCTGTCAACCAGTCAGGTAAGAGCAGCATACTACATAAATACAACACAGCTTTATAATTAACTGTAGATGAAATGGTCTGACCTCTAACAGTCCCATATGAACAGAAAATAAATGACGTGAGAATGCAGACACTGACCAACCAGAATCAAGCCTTCCAGATTGTATTTAACTAACCCTAGCCCAACATTGTTTTATTCCCCATTATTTTAGTATAAGTCACTTCTGCAAGTGTAACTATAGTTGACTAGTGGCAGCAGGGATTGGTTTAAATGGTTTGATCAGGCTGTTCATGATGGTGAGATGATGTACAGTGTGTGTGATGCAGGTTCCCACCGCAGAGGAGATGTTCTGCTGCTACGGTCCGGTGGTTCCTGACGGTTACGGCGTGTGTTATAACCCTCGGCCCGCTCACGTGCTGTTCTGTGTGTCCAGCTTCAGAGAGAGTAAGGAGACTTGTTCAGGGCTGTTTGTGAAAGCGCTGGACGAGGGACTGCAGGACATGAGGATCCTGTGCACTAAACACACAGATCACAGGAACACGCCAAACACACCAAAATAACAGCATCACGCTCTGATATTTTCATAGCAACAATAACCAGAACTATAAACTGTTGCTCTGCTTTTAGAATAGAAACCTCTCTGAGTGTGTTCACTCTTCAGAGGAGTGTGTGTGTCCATTACATACATATACTATATACTGGCATGTACAGTATATACATATATATACAGTCACACACATAAATAGATAAATAATACAATTAGCATGGTAACATATTTAGATACCTATACTTTTAAAATAGTTATGCATGTATGTATAAGCTTACATACTTGTTAGTGAGTAGTCTGTAAAAGCACACACTTTAAGACAAGTAATATTGCTAATATCAGCATGACTAATGAAACACTCACATACTGTACATGTAAATGTACAGTATACTTTACATACTACAAGAAATGTTGCATTTAAAGAACTTATACTTAATCTTCAATTAACTGCATATGAATGTGAATATCTGTGTGAAAGCACAGACTGTGTGTAGAAATACTGTGTTTATTAGAGTGGATATGTATTTTGTGTGCTCAAATATAAACATAGGGATTTTAAATATATATTTTAAAATGTGCAATAAATTCAGTTAAAGTGCAATAAGTTAAATGCTGTGAGGTAGATATTTGCACTAGAGACATATGCACTAATAATCATCATCAATATGAACTCCTGACTCACAGGAACATATGTATGTGAATAAATACTGTCTTGGTTTTTGTTTAACTTGTTTGTTATTTATGGTATGTAATGATGTCTGCTGCATTCATTCTTTACTGTCTTCGTGACTGTCTGTCAGATTAATAAAAGTCTTCATGAGTGCTCATAAAATGTATTTTGGTAATTCTATGCATTTTACTCATGTATAATTTGTTTGCAACTGTATGTTACTGTATTAGTGTCAGTAAACTATGTTGTATGAAATATAAATAAATCAAATATAAATAAATTATAACTCTAATTAAATAAACTGGATTTTATTGCATTACTGATAAAGGCCGGTGCAAATTAAAGCCAAACAGAGTGTGCCAGAGCAAATGCTCTCAGTTTGCACACACACACTCACACACACACACACACACACACACACACACACACACACAGAGAGAGACTGCCATTTCTGTGCTACGCATGCGTCGATATTCAGCTGAACTCTTTCCCACTGATCAGTGTTTATTCAATGTCTGCAGGTTTAAACTTGAATCCACTGATGAAACGGATCAACATGAAAACCACTAAATAATGAAAGTTCCTAAAACTGACAGATTTGAAGAATGAAGCAGATGAAGTATTTCCCTGACGTGGAATCAGTTTTCAGCTCCTGACATTCTCAAAGATACAATTATTCCCAACACGACAGCACTGTTCCCTCGTTCCTAAAATCTTTCAATTAAAGAGAAGAGCAGAAAATGTTTTTATTATAAAGTGCTTCTCATAATGACCGCGCTGGCATTTCTGAGGAAGATGTCATACTCGTCTTCCTCTCACACACGGTTTTAAGAGTCTAATTGGCCGAGAAACTGAGACACATTTGCTAATGATACTGAAAACACGGCGAGTCGGAGGAGCTCCGTCATTCTCTCTAATGAAGCTCTGGACTCCCAAACTTTAGTCTAAAGTGTCTCAAACGACATGAGTCTGCAGAACCATTTTCTCAAATCTACAATGCAGCCGAGAGCTGCAGGAACAATAATCTGTGTACATTTCATCTCCGTACGCTAAAGACTGAACTGAAACCTTCAGAATGAAGAGAGAGATGATAGAGATGAACAGAAAAACAGACAACAAACGTCATCAAACCCTAACTCACGAATGACGAACAATCGACTAAAGCGAGTGTTGTAACGATCGGTTTCTGTGCACGGGTCTAAGCTCTTCAGGACGCTTTATGATATAAACAGTTTAGAAATGGCTGCACATTGTTGATATATGTGACTACATGTGCCATTCATCATACTAAAACCTGATGCATTAAATCGATGTGGAGCTGCTTCTGTTCAAGGCTGTTGGAGTTAAAGGTCAGCCGTGTTTTCAATCAGGCTGTCTCCGACTTTATATCAACCCTTATTGCAATGACCAGCTTTCTGTGTTTGCCCTCACTAAAACAGCCAGCGGTTTAACACAAAAATAAAAAACATCTTCCTCATAGTTTAGCCAGTGTCAAGCAGACTTTACTGTGGCTCTATCAGTGAGAATACATCAGATCTGAACCTCACCTCTCTACTTCTGCATCAGTGTGCAATGAAATCTCAAGCAGTTCATACAAACTCTCATTTCTACTGGGAAACTGAAGTTCATGAACAGATGCAGACTGGAGGCAGAAAGTGGGTTATCTAGTGATTTTTCGATCAATAAGCAATTTGCGTTGATCCAGCGCCGCAGGCCTGATTTATGACGCGCTGAGGCCCAAAGCGAGCCGCGGGCTCCGGGTCGCCGCTCTGCTGGAGTCTCTCCTATCGGACCAGAGGAGGAACAGCAAGTCTCTTTATGAAGGATAGCAGATATGCTTAAATGAACAACACAATCTGACAACAATAAAATGCTCAACAATATAGTCACAAGACAAACAATATGCAGGATTTTAGTGACAAATCATTTACTAACCTCTGTTGGCATGATGCCTAAAACCATAAAATGACAAAAACAAATTTACAGCTTGAATAATACATGACTTTAACAGAATAATGTAAGTGCATTGATAAAATAAGCTACATGTCTGCTTTGGTGCATCACCATCACTTCTTTATTAAGTGTATAACTCATCTTTTGTTGTTTCAGATTCACTCACGGACTCTCGTCAAGTCAATTTTATTTGTAGAGCTCTTTTCTCAGTGCACATTGTTTCAAAGCACCTTTACACTAAATCATCAAATGTAATGTTTATAATATGCTAACATCTTCATGCCTTTAGCAGATTAGAGCTGAATGATAACATTTGAGTATTTGACAGCGATGCACAGATTAACAGTTAATAACAGAGCTGAACATCATGAAAATCATTTGCTTCCGGTATTTCTATAAAAATAGGATCGGTTCTGTTTTCCCAGCCCTAGCAAGAAATCGTCTCTACACAGTAAAATGAGACAGAAACAGAAAATAAATCACACATTCACTCATTAATGTTTCTAACAGTCAGATCTCAGGCGTTTCATATGATCTGTGTGTAAAGTCTAACAGATTTCCCATGGAGCCACAGAGAAAAGCTTTCTTTCTATGAGATTCTCTCTGTCTCCAAACAAACTCACAGAGGGCTTCAGGATCTCGAGGAATCGGAGCGGTTTGGGTAACATCTTCACAGGAGATTCAGCCATGCGAACACAAGACACAATGACTACTTACAGTGTGCTGCATTTATGTCTTGTTCTACGAACCATTAAAACACTCCTGAAAGCACACAGTCATCTCTCAGCGACCTGAAGGGCCTGAATGCTTTATTTGGACACACGGATCTCTCGCGGTCTGTCCGGGTCTCAGCACTGACACACTAATAAGATAACGGGCTGATCTTTCTTACATCTGTTTGCTTACATTCATCCATTCAGTCATCTACACTGTGATCCAGGTGTCACGTCGTGCTGAGTTCCACGAGCGTCTGTGACTGTGATTAGCTACATATAGCTTATGTTCGTCAGCAGTTATTGTGACAAAACGATTGAACAGTGAGAATCGCCGTTATCACTGACGAGAGCCGAGAATCGCTGACCTGCGAGACGAAACTCATGAGGAACCAATACTTTCCTGCATTACTTCATTTCAGCTACTGAAGTCAAAGCCGGTCCTAACCAGGTGAAAACACGCAAGTCTTACTGCTGTGAAATTTATCAGATAAATGGAATCATTCTAGTTCCTATAAAGGCTGTAATGAAGCAGATCTGCGGTCTATTTTCAGACGTATGACCTGAAGAGACTCTTGCGTTCAGACTCACATTTGCACTTCAAATGAATTCATGCAAAATAAAGAAATGAGATTCATCGGGTATTTCTGCCCTTCAGGAATCAGAATTATATTCCCAGCAGATCTTCAGCATCCATTTGAACATCTCTCTGGCTATTTGTCTGATGAAAGGAAATGAATGTTTGTCGTTCAGAAGAAGACGAAAAACATTATCAGTAAAGATGAGTGAGAGGAATCACTTATTAAACGATACACAATAATTCAGACACTCAGGCTTGATGTCAGACAGAGCAGAGAATCCAAACAGCAGAGACGACTGAAAACACAGAGCAAACACACAGAAAGTGCCACGACATAAACATGTATTTGCATGTGACCGTGATAATACCACATCACATGCACTTTCTTTGGTATTCTTTTAAGTATCTTGATTGCATGCTAAGTGTTGGGGAAAGTTACTTTTCAAAGTAATGCATTACAATATGACGTTACTCTCTACAAAAGTAACTAACTGCATTTATTACTTTTTATGTGAAATAATGTGTTGTGTTACATTTGCATTACAATAACACTCTTATTTCAGCAATAAATAAAGAAAACCACAAATGTGATGTTCAGCTAAAGTCACTTTTGCTGATCTGAATGGTTGAATTGGACCATCAAAGGTCAGCAGTGAGATTAAATACATAAAGTATATTTGTGTTATTTAACAGATTTAATTATTGCGAATACTGAATCTGCAAGTGAGAGTAAATGCAGCTGATGTTAGATCTACAGTAGCATCATGTTCACACAGCGCTCTGCACTCACTCCTGATTCTCTCAGCATGAGGACAGGATAGCTGTCAGTCAATACATGGGAAACAAAGTAGCTGGCATTACTTATTTGAAAAAGTAATGCATTACTTTACTGGTTACTTGAAAAAAGTAATCTGATTACGTAACTCGAGTTACTTGTAATGCATTACTCCTAACACTGCATGCAAATAATTGCATGGTAATCATTTGGATATCATGGTTTTTCCATCAGTATGTGTTGTTTCCTCAGGTTACACGATGGAGTGTGGAGGCAAGCTCTGCTCAGTCCCTTTCTCTGAATCCTGTATTGTGCAGAAACG